TACGATATAATGTTATTATTTACGGATTTGTTTTTGAATAACGATCAGTAAAAGTTAATGCCCTGTTTAATAATTTCTTATAGTTATAACTCAACTATTGAGTTGTGCGTGTTTGATATTTATCGAAGAGAAACTGATGAAAATTTCTTGGGGTGGCTATAATTATATTGTATTATCTCACCCCGAAGTGGCTCAGGTATACTTGCTTGATCACATAATAAGTGCTTTCTCACGTTAACAATTGATTATTTAATACAGGAAGTGCTAAAGAATAACACCGTAATCAACAAAGATTGGATTTATAATATTCTTCATCCGTGGCTGGGAACAGGTCTTTTCACAAGGTAAACAATCATCGAATATTTCACATTAATACAAGTAATTTATTTGTTTACAATCGAAACAGTTCGAACGACAAGTGGAGACATCGTAGGAAATTGTTAACTCCGGCATTTCACTTTCGAATTCTCGAAGACTTTCAAAGAATTTTCAACAACCACTCAAACATCTTAGTTGAAAAGTTGAAAAATAAAAAGCAAACTGAAGAGTTTCTTATTGACGAGCTAATCAGACTGTGCAATTTGGATATTATTGGAGGTAAGAATTTATTAAGCAATGCTTACTTGCAGGGAAAATTGCCTTTTTACAAGCAGAAAAAGATGTTTTTAACATTTTTTTAATATTCTGAAAAAACTACAATTCGAAAATGTGCTGAAAAATAAACGAGCGGTTGAGAGTGTGTTTTTTAAACTTGTCTCTTCATTACGACAATTTCGAAACGGTATTGTGAATGAAAATTTTCTTTCATTTCGAGAATTTNCAACTATTGAGTTGTGCGTGTTTGGGATTCATCGAAGAGAAAGTGATGAAACTTTCTTGGGGTGGCTATAATTATATTGTATTATCTCACCCCGATGTGGTTCAGGTATACTTGCTTCGTCACGTAATAAGTGCTTTGTCACGTTAACAATTGATTATTTAATACAGGAAGTGCTAAAGAATAACACCGTGATCAACAAAGATTGGATTTATAATATTCTTCATCCGTGGCTGGGAACAGTCTTCTAACAAGGTAAAACAATCATCGAATATTTCACATTAATACAAGTAATTTATTTATTTACAATCGAAACAGTTCGAACGACAAGTGGAGACATCGTAGGAAATTGTTAACTCCGGCATTTCACTTTCGAATTCTCGAAGACTTTCAAGGAATTTTCAACGACCACTCAAACATCTTAATTGAAAAGTTGAAAAATAAAAAGCAAAATGAAGAGTTTCTTATTGACGAGCTAATCAGTCTGTGCACTTTGGATATTATTGGAGGTAAGAATTGATTAAGCAATGTTTACTTGCAGAGAAAATTACCTTTTTACAAGCGTAAAAAATGTTTTTAACATTTTTTTTTGAATACAGTATTATAAAAAAACTACAATTCGAAAATGTGCTGAAAAATGAACGAGCAGTTGAGAGTGTGTTTTTTAAACTTGTCTCTTCATTACGACAATTTCGAAATGTTATTGTAAATTAAACATTATCTTTCATTTAGAGAAATTTGGTTTTTGTTTTTATTTTGCAAATAAGACAATCTGTTTTAATCAAACACATCGTGAGGTCAACGAACCGAACAATAGCAGAAAAAACAATAATGAGGCACGGACCGACAGATTCTGAATTAGAGCCAACGAAACTTCCGATCGTAAGTACAACTGCAATTGCGAAATTTCATAGCGATATTCTGACGCATTAATACATTGGAATGTGTCATCTTCATAATCATGAAAAAGAAAACGTTTCTAATTTGTTAAAGCCTTTCTTTTTCTCAGTACTTTTTCAAATTGAGTTCGAGTATATTCGAAATTTCTTACAGTCAAAACAGACAACTTTACTAAGAAAAGTGTACAAATTCAATATGTTATTTTATAAATATACTGTTATTATTTACAGATTCAGCAATGGGAGTTCGATTCAACACTCAAGACAGATCTGGCACTGATTATGGAGTTGCCGTTAATGAGTAAGTTGAAAAGAAATGTTTAATGATAAATCTGAATAGAACTTTTCTATTCAAAACTATTTATAACTTGCTTTTGAATAACCCTAAGGATTTTCTAGCTATTTTTTTTAATTTTCATGTAATCAGGATTTTCGTTTCTCTATCGATTATTGTACAACAATCTCAGCTTTTCTATTAGGAGTAGTCAAAATTGCAATAGGTGACAATGGATCAAAGACGACAAACGACCTTGTAATTTTAAATGACTGTGAAAGATTTTCATAGCATGGATAAAATCTAGATAAAATCTCACATGTTTTTTTTAGATTTTAGCCATGATAAAATCTAGAAAAAACATAAAGAATTCTTCTCACAACATTGTCCTTTCCATTTTTTTCCATTCTCACAACATTGTCCTTTTCATGTTTTTAATGTAAAGTGTCAGAACCTAAAACAGAATGCTGACACTTGATCGTTTTTAACTTTGTGAATTTTTTACTTATTGTTTATCTTTGTTTTAAGAAGTATATTCTTCAATAAAACCCATGTTAACTGTTACTTCTGGAGTGTATTACAAGGATTAAGATAGACTCGAAAATTTCATACTTTTGTAAATAGTCTAAACCTTCAAGGTATTTTACGAGGTTTAAAAAGAAGTAATTTTGTTTAAAAGTAAAATTTTAAAATATTTTTAACAATGTAAAATATATTTCAATTACTTGAAGCATTTATAATATACCACATTTGTGCTTTATAATTCAGTATAACATCCGCAGTTATCCAATGGTTCACGAAGCCTTGGTATTGGTTCAGTCCCATTTTCAATCTTAGTCCATTAGGGAAAAAATTTTACAAAGACATTCACACGATTCACGAATTCGACAGAAAGGCAAGTTCATTTGTTTTTATATGTAAACTATATACGTCGTTAATTAAAGTATGAAAACAATTCAGGTAATTAGAGAAAAGAAACACAAAATGATCGAAGAACTGAAAGACAATCAAACAATCGACAACTTTCGAGAAGGAAATGAAGTTACAGGGGTAAAGAAGAGGCGAGCATTTCTGGATTTACTGCTTTATCATCATTTAACGGATAAAAGTCTCAACGAAGAGGATATCAGAGAAGAAGTTGATACATTCATGTTCGCAGTAAAATCAGTTTCATTTACTAATTTAAGAATAAGAGATTCGGGATATATATGAATTGTGTTTTTGTTAGGGACTGGACACAAGCGCAATGGGAATTACTTGGTGTTTTTATCTGCTCGGATTGCATCCCGATATACAAGAGAAAGTTTACCAGGAGCAGGAAGAAATTTTTGGTGAAGACATAAATAATTCTATTACGTCCGAAGACCTAAGAAAAATGAAGTATCTGGAATGTGTTGTCAAGGTAACAATTTACTTATAAATGCCTGGTTGAAAGGTGAAATTTAGACGCTTAAATTATCAACAACCGTGAGGTAGGGAATAGTGAGAGCTTATCAGACCAATGATGGGCACAAACGATCCCGAAAGTAAAAACGTTTGATAAACACAAAAATGACTACATAGGTATTGAAACGATTAAACCTAAAATGCATTTTGGACTACTTTCTGATAGAAAATAGTCCTTCATCAGTTGGTATTAATTAAAGGCTTTAGTGTATTTAAAATTATACAAGGTAATTCTAACCTAAAACCTAAAACAATGCTTAAAGCTGTACTGTATAATTATGAAAACGTAGTTATAACTCTACCTGCAGTAAGCATTACCAGTGTATACCAGGGCTTCTTCAACTATGGGTCGCGACCCCATTTAGGGTCGCTTAGCGAAATCTTAGGGTCGCGAGATTTTAATGCAAAATATTTAAAATAATTTGTGAGAGTTTGAAAATGGCACGCTTTGTGTCACTTCTGATGCAGCGAGACAATAATTCAGCAACACTAGTGTGAACTAGTGTAGTGTTCTCGCTATTCAGTGTATTCAGTTGTCTCTGTTCCATTGTAACGCAAGAGTGAACTGTGGTAGTACACCATTATTGTTTTTGCAAATTTGTATATGTCTTTATTTTATATTTTTTTTGGGGGGTCGCGAGAAATATCACAGTCATAAATGGGGTCGTGAATAAAAAAGTTTAAAAAGCCCTGGTGTAGACCAAGGTCTATATAAGAAGATCAGGACACGCGTGACCTACTTTTTAAACCGCCATTTTGGGGATTTTTGAGTCGCATGTTTTAAGCAAGCTTGCAGGAGCAGTCTGTTTTATACGTCATTAATTAAACTAAAATTGCATAAATCCAGTGATTCCCAGTCAAAAATATAATAATAATATCGGATGATTATGCAACTCCAATTTTATATAACGTTTTCATCAAATTGTTGAAAAGAAACAATCATCCATATTTGATTCTATGTTTGAGGCTGTCGTGATTGAAACTAATTAAATAGGTGCTAAAACTGATGCAATTACGTATATAGGAACTTCGTAAAGTGATGCAATAATATAAAACAAAATTTAATAATAAAGAATATAATAATATAATATAACAAACTTATAATTTTTTTATTAAGCACTATTGGTTATAAAATTAAACCACTCGTTACAAACTTTACATATATAAACTGTTTGAAGTGCATCATGAACCATCTGTTGATGTCTACGCTATATTTTGCTTTCCTCTGTTTATTTGCAAGAAATCTAAACAATCGAACGTCTGTAGATTTACTTTTACAATTCGTTGCCACACAATAACCCATTGTTTAAAGTTTTGAGTACTTATATACAGTACGTAATAAAAGTCGACTCACGCGGAAACTACGTGTGGAGTATAGTCTATCGCAGCGCTGTCCAACTTATTATAGCCCGCGGGCCATATTTTCTTCACCAAACATTTCGGGGGCCAAGAAGATTGATAAACCACATGACATTTGCATAGTGCTATGGTTCAGTAAGCACTAATTGGTCAGCGAGTTCGATGTTGACGCTATAAAAAGGTGACAGTTCGACACACCGGATATACGTCACTCTCGTCTAAGTTCGACTTGGGAATTTTTTTGTTCAATAATAAATGTGAATTCTCCTTCCTGAAAAAATAAGACATTCCCTGAAAATAAGACCTAGCGCATTTTTCAGAGCAAAAATTAATATAAGACACTGTCTTATTTTCGGGGAAACACGGTAGTAAAATAATTTTATCAATAATAATAATTTAGTAACATAAATTTATTCATAGTAAAATGAACTCGTGGGCCGTAAAAATTATTTGGCGGGCCGTATACGGCCCGCGGGCCGCCAGTTGGACAGCGCTGATATAGGGAATAAAGAATATCTGTAATTTCANTGCCCCTTATCTGATTCAAAAAATACAATCTGAATTAAATAAAGTTTATTTTCTGATACACAAATTCTGCAATTTACCAATTACAAACAACCACGATGTGGCAAGAGTTCGCCTTGGTCTTCCAAATCTTTCTGATCGCTTAAAATATTTTGACCGCATTCTCTGTTTTAAATACTTCAATGGTCTAATCTTCAATTACTGGCTAGGTCTCCGCATCCCTACTGTAAGAACTCGTAATACATCATGCTTCTTCATCCCTTTTTTCCGCCTTTCTCTTTCCCAAAGATCTTTTTTTTACCGTATAGTATCTCACATACAGCCTGTTGAACCTTATCTATATCGTGATTTTAATTTTTTTAAAAATAAATGTAAATCTATTTTATATAGTATATAATGTATCTGTTGTCTTACTTAATTTATAATTTTTTTTATTATGTCTGTTATATCTTTTATATTTTGTAATCATTTTATTGGGGATCATTTTTTTTCTTTGTCATTGGGGGGTGGAATACAATCGTCTCTGACGTTTCCAATTAAATGTAAAAAATATATATATATAAACAAGTGCTACTTTTATACATTTTTACTCTTAACCAGAAACAAAAGATAAGGAAACTATAACTATTAGTATTGTCCAATTTTATCTCCATATACTTATGTATCTATGACATATATTTCACATTTTTTTCTTTTTTATATTAATAGAAACTTTTTGGTATCTTAACAGAAAGTATTTAAGAACAACGAACCATTTTTATATTTTGCGAATTTTGTATGTAAACAGAAAAAAATATATGATATCAAATACTCGGCAACTATTTTCAAATATTTAAGTAATTTCAGGAGACACTCAGGATCTATCCTCCGGCAAGTTTCATAGCGAGAAAAAATCCATCCGATTTGAAAGTGGGTATGTATCGTATTTTACAGTAAAAAATTTACAGCAACAGCATCAATTTCATTGATAACAATTGAATTTCCTTTCAGGTAATTATATCGTACCAGCAAAATCATCTCTTGTAATAAACATTTATGGTATTCATCATAATCCAACGGTTTTCGTAAATCCCGAAGTGTTCGATCCGGATCGATTTTTGCCAGAAAACTGCAAGAACCGTCATTCTTTTGCTTTTATACCGTTCTCTGCCGGTCCACGCAATTGCATAGGTAAGTAATTGTGATATGAGGCAAAGTCCTCCTGTGTTTCTGACGTACTTGCCTTTCTTTAGGTCAAAGATTCGCCATGATGGAGATGAAGACAACTTTAGCGAATGTTGTTCGAAATTTTCGCGTGAAGTCTTTAGACCATAGAGATAAGATTTTCGAATCTGCTGACGTCGTTCTTCGTCCGAAATTCGGTATAAGAATGATTGTCGAAAAACGATAAAAGAACAAAATATTATCTTTCCGAAAATATAAAATCTATAAATTAACGAAATAGTTGTTCATAATACAATGTTTCATGTATCCTAGATTCTTATCTATATGATAATCCGCGCTTCAATAGTATAGACATGATCAGCCTGGCCAGAAAAGGTCAATGCTAGATAATAGAAATAGAAGGCGACCTGCAAATGTTGACACACGTCTGATTTCTTTCAGCTCTTTTCTTTTCTATATTCTTAAAACGTTTTCATACTACTTTTGTTATAAACAACTGAACTTTTTTGCAATTTATATTACTGTGATTTATTACGTGTGAACGATCAATGCCGTCTTCCAGCTTTGTCATGTGACATAGACCCTTTTCGTTTAGATTGATTAATGNTGCGAATTTTCATAGCGATATTCTTACGAATTAATACGTTGGAATTGAAACTTCCGATCGCAAGTACGATTGCTATTGCGAATTTTCATAGCGATATTCTTACGAATTAATACGTTGGAATTGAAACTTCCGATCGCAAGTACGATTGCTATTGCGAATTTTCATAGCGATATTCTTACGAATTAATACGTTGGAATTGAAACTTCCGATCGCAAGTACGATTGCTATTGCGAATTTTCATAGCGATATTCTTACGAATTAATACGTTGGAATTGAAACTTCCGATCGCAAGTACGATTGCTATTGCGAATTTTCATAGCGATATTCTTACGAATTAATACGTTGGAATTGAAACTTCCGATCGCAAGTACGATTGCTATTGCGAATTTTCATAGCGATATTCTTACGAATTAATACGTTGGAATTGAAACTTCCGATCGCAAGTACGATTGCTATTGCGAATTTTCATAGCGATATTCTTACGAATTAATACGTTGGAATTGAAACTTCCGATCGCAAGTACGATTGCTATTGCGAATTTTCATAGCGATATTCTTACGAATTAATACGTTGGAATTGAAACTTCCGATCGCAAGTACGATTGCTATTGCGAATTTTCATAGCGATATTCTTACGAATTAATACGTTGGAATTGAAACTTCCGATCGCAAGTACGATTGCTATTGCGAATTTTCATAGCGATATTCTTACGAATTAATACGTTGGAATTGAAACTTCCGATCGCAAGTACGATTGCTATTGCGAATTTTCATAGCGATATTCTTACGAATTAATACGTTGGAATTGAAACTTCCGATCGCAAGTACGATTGCTATTGCGAATTTTCATAGCGATATTCTTACGAATTAATACGTTGGAATTGAAACTTCCGATCGCAAGTACGATTGCTATTGCGAATTTTCATAGCGATATTCTTACGAATTAATACGTTGGAATTGAAACTTCCGATCGCAAGTACGATTGCTATTGCGAATTTTCATAGCGATATTCTTACGAATTAATACGTTGGAATTGAAACTTCCGATCGCAAGTACGATTGCTATTGCGAATTTTCATAGCGATATTCTTACGAATTAATACGTTGGAATGTGTCGTCTTTATAACTACGAAAAAAAAACGTTTCTAATTTGTTCAAGGCTTTCTTTTTCTCAGTACTTTTTCAAATTAAGACACATTATGTTCGAAATTTCTTACGGTTAGACTTTACTACGGAAAGTAACAAATTCTGTGTGTTATTTAATAAATATACTATTATTATTTACAGATTCAGCAATGGGAGTTCGATTCAACACCCAAGACAGATCCGGTACTAATTATGGCGTTGCCATTAATGAGTAAGTTGAAAAGTAATATTTAATGACAAATCTAAATAGAACTTTTTTTATTTAAAACTATTTATAACTTGCTTTTGAATAACTGATTCAGCAATGGGAGTTCGATTCAACACTCAAGACAGATCTCATAGCGATTATGGCGTTGCCATTAATGAGTAAGTTGAAAAGAAATATTTAATGACAAATCTAAATAGAACTTTTTTTATTTAAAACTATTTATAACTTGCTTTTGAATAACTCTAAGGGTTTTCTAGCTATTTTTTTTTTAATTTTCATGTAATCAGTATTTTCGTTTCTCTATCGATTATTGTACAACAATCTCAGCTTTTCCATTAGGAGTAGTCAAAATTGCAATAGGTGACAATGGATCAAAGATGACAAACGACCTTGTAATTTTAATTAACTGTGAAAGATTTTCATAGCATGGATAAAATCTGGATAAAATCTCTTTCAGAGCACTTGTAGTTTCTTGCTGTTACACACTTTTGCATACAGTACAGATTGCTTTATGTGTCTTGTGGTTCTATGGAAGAAATGAAAGAGTTTTCATTTACGCATACAATGCAATTCTTATTGCCTGTTTCATCAGGAAAATATACACTAAATATCTTCTAAATACGATTTTACATTCAACGGCGCAATTAAGCAATATAGTAACAGTATCAAACTATTTGACTATAAGGTAGTTTTGCAATAAACAAAGAATAAATTTTTTTTTTCATTGTCGCACTTTCATTATTAAGTATTTATTAGAGACCTTTCATTCTTCCAAACAAACAAGAAATAAAGCTGGTTCCAAAGGGCGAAATTTTTTTACTACACTATAAGAAATTCGTAGCTTTGCATAACCCTGAAATCAATGGGCATATTTACAATCTCATCGATTCAGTCAAACGTTACCGGAAATGACGGACCTGCTGGTGTTTATGAGAAAACACAAATGTTGTCTGCCTGAATATCAGAAAAATAGGAAAATGGCGAGAAGAAACAAACAAATGAAAATTTTGTAAATTTCTGTAAAAGTTAATAATAAATAAATCAATTTTAATATTACACTTTAACAACTAACACTGTTTATGTCATGTCTGACATATCTAAAGAAAAACGTATTTTACGAAGTTTAAAAAAAAAAGTGATTTTGTTTCGAGTTTAAAATTTTAATATATTTTTTACAATGTGAAATATATTTCAATTACTTGAAGCATTTATAATATACCACATTGTGCTTTATAATTCAGTATAACATCCGCAGTTATCCAATGGTTCACGAAGCCTTGGTATTGGTTCAGTCCCATTTTCAATCTTAGTCCATTAGGGAAAAAATTTTACAAAGACATTCACACGATTCACGAATTCGACAGAAAGGCAAGTTCATTTGTTTTTATATGTAAACTATATACGTCGTTAATTAAAGTATGAAAACAATTCAGGTAATTAGAGAAAAGAAACACAAAATGATCGAAGAACTGAAAGACAATCAAACAATCGACAACTTTCGAGAAGGAAATGAAGTTACAGGGGTAAAGAAGAGGCGAGCATTTCTGGATTTACTGCTTTATCATCATTTAACGGATAAAAGTCTCAACGAAGAGGATATCAGAGAAGAAGTTGATACATTCATGTTCGCAGTAAAATCAGTTTCATTTACTAATTTAAGAATAAGAGATTCGGGATATATATGAATTGTCTTTTTGTTAGGGACTGGACACAAGCGCAATGGGAATTACTTGGTGTTTTTATCTGCTCGGATTGCATCCCGATATACAAGAGAAAGTTTACCAGGAGCAGGAAGAAATTTTTGGTGAAGACATAAATAATTCTATTACGTCCGAAGACCTAAGAAAAATGAAGTATCTGGAATGTGTTGTCAAGGTAACAATTTACTTATAAATGCCTGGTTGAAAGGTGAAATTTAGACGCTTAAATTATCAACAACCGTGAGGTAGGGAATAGTGAGAGCTTATCAGACCAATGATGGGCACAAACGATCCCGAAAGTAAAAACGTTTGATAAACACAAAAATGACTACATAGGTATTGAAACGATTAAACCTAAAATGCATTTTGGACTACTTTCTGATAGAAAATAGTCCTTCATCAGTTGGTATTAATTAAAGGCTTTAGTGTATTTAAAATTATACAAGGTAATTCTAACCTAAAACCTAAAACAATGCTTAAAGCTGTACTGTATAATTATGAAAACGTAGTTATAACTCTACCTGCAGTAAGCATTACCAGTGTATACCAGGGCTTCTTCAACTATGGGTCGCGACCCCATTTAGGGTCGCTTAGCGAAATCTTAGGGTCGCGAGATTTTAATGCAAAATATTTAAAATAATTTGTGAGAGTTTGAAAATGGCACGCTTTGTGTCACTTCTGATGCAGCGAGACAATAATTCAGCAACACTAGTGTGAACTAGTGTAGTGTTCTCGCTATTCAGTGTATTCAGTTGTCTCTGTTCCATTGTAACGCAAGAGTGAACTGTGGTAGTACACCATTATTGTTTTTGCAAATTTGTATATGTCTTTATTTTATATTTTTTTTGGGGGGTCGCGAGAAATATCACAGTCATAAATGGGGTCGTGAATAAAAAAGTTTAAAAAGCCCTGGTGTAGACCAAGGTCTATATAAGAAGATCAGGACACGCGTGACCTACTTTTTAAACCGCCATTTTGGGGATTTTTGAGTCGCATGTTTTAAGCAAGCTTGCAGGAGCAGTCTGTTTTATACGTCATTAATTAAACTAAAATTGCATAAATCCAGTGATTCCCAGTCAAAAATATAATAATAATATCGGATGATTATGCAACTCCAATTTTATATAACGTTTTCATCAAATTGTTGAAAAGAAACAATCATCCATATTTGATTCTATGTTTGAGGCTGTCGTGATTGAAACTAATTAAATAGGTGCTAAAACTGATGCAATTACGTATATAGGAACTTCGTAAAGTGATGCAATAATATAAAACAAAATTTAATAATAAAGAATATAATAATATAATATAACAAACTTATAATTTTTTTATTAAGCACTATTGGTTATAAAATTAAACCACTCGTTACAAACTTTACATATATAAACTGTTTGAAGTGCATCATGAACCATCTGTTGATGTCTACGCTATATTTTGCTTTCCTCTGTTTATTTGCAAGAAATCTAAACAATCGAACGTCTGTAGATTTACTTTTACAATTCGTTGCCACACAATAACCCATTGTTTAAAGTTTTGAGTACTTATATACAGTACGTAATAAAAGTCGACTCACGCGGAAACTACGTGTGGAGTATAGTCTATCGCAGCGCTGTCCAACTTATTATAGCCCGCGGGCCATATTTTCTTCACCAAACATTTCGGGGGCCAAGAAGATTGATAAACCACATGACATTTGCATAGTGCTATGGTTCAGTAAGCACTAATTGGTCAGCGAGTTCGATGTTGACGCTATAAAAAGGTGACAGTTCGACACACCGGATATACGTCACTCTCGTCTAAGTTCGACTTGGGAATTTTTTTGTTCAATAATAAATGTGAATTCTCCTTCCTGAAAAAATAAGACATTCCCTGAAAATAAGACCTAGCGCATTTTTCAGAGCAAAAATTAATATAAGACACTGTCTTATTTTCGGGGAAACACGGTAGTAAAATAATTTTATCAATAATAATAATTTAGTAACATAAATTTATTCATAGTAAAATGAACTCGTGGGCCGTAAAAATTATTTGGCGGGCCGTATACGGCCCGCGGGCCGCCAGTTGGACAGCGCTGATATAGGGAATAAAGAATATCTGTAATTTCAATTTCAAAAAATTTGTAAAATTCAACACTTAATAAATCTCTAGCAGGTGCTTTTTTAGGGTGAAGTTCTTTAATTTGCAAGTCTATTGTGACAGTTAAAGATTTTGCAATGAATATCACACACACTGACAGACAAGGCAATCTGTGCATCGTACACTTAAGTTTTGGCATACTAGCTGCCTGTGTGCTTCAAAATGGACAGGTCAGCTGGGACAGTTTGCTGAGAGGATCCAGCTAACAAATGTTAGAACCCTGTTAAATTTCTGAAGAGTAAAAAAAAACTTAAGTGAGAAAACTTATACAGGAATTGTAAAAAAAATTTTATTTGTAATTCTGTTTTATTTCAATATCAAGGTAATATTGTAGCTTAGTAGAATTGTAAGATGCACTGACTATGTTAGGTGTGTATCTTCTGTCAATATGATATGTCAACAGTTAATGGTCAAAACAATAAGACCCCAGAAAAATTAAGTTACTACCTCCAGGTGTGCAGATGTTTGATATACAATATGATGAGTATCTAGAGTTTATTAAAACTGTACTGTTTTTATAATTTAATTTTTTTTTTTAAACTGTTTATGGAAGTTTTACATTTTGTCAGGAACATATCTAGCTAATCATTGTAGGAAAGATATCAGCAATAAGTACTTGCATACAAGAAAGTTTTGCTCAGAGTTCTTGGAAGTAAGCAAATCATGCCAGCTAAGAATTGCAGATTTTGCAACTAACAATTACCAAAGGAAGATGGTTTTACTAAGAAGTTTGTTTTTAGTGATGAAGCAACATTCTACATGTGTGACATGGCAAATAATCACAAAATACATATTTGGGTATAGAATCTCCTCGTGTAATGGTGAAACATATCTGATTCCCTAAACTGAATGTTTTGTGCTGTTTTCTCTTCCAACATCTACAGTCCACTTTTCTTTGCAGATTAAACTGTTTCTGATACTTCATATCTAGACTAGGTTGACAATTTGGTCAATCTAATGATACAACAATAGACTCTTCTCGCTGAGAATTCTTGGATACCATAACTATTTTTACACTCCATTCATGCATTTATAAGTTAATTCTTGGCAAGCAAAGTTAGTATTACCTATGGCATCCATGATGTTATATTATTTCCAAACTTGTACCAAACAAACATAAATTTAAGGAAAGTACAGCACTACGACAAATTGCCACCTTTTGCTGATTGGTTTGTGTTTGAGNTCGAATCTGCTGACGTCGTTCTTCGTCCGAAATTCGGTATAAGAATGATTGTCGAAAAACGATAAAAGAACAAAATATTATCTTTCCGAAAATATAAAATCTATAAATTAACGAAATAGTTGTTCATAATACAATGTTTCATGTATCCTAGATTCTTATCTATATGATAATCCGCGCTTCAATAGTATAGACATGATCAGCCTGGCCAGAAAAGGTCAATGCTAGATAATAGAAATAGAAGGCGACCTGCAAATGTTGACACACGTCTGATTTCTTTCAGCTCTTTTCTTTTCTATATTCTTAAAACGTTTTCATACTACTTTTGTTATAAACAACTGAACTTTTTTGCAATTTATATTACTGTGATTTATTACGTGTGAACGATCAATGCCGTCTTCCAGCTTTGTCATGTGACATAGACCCTTTTCGTTTAGATTGATTAATGTCACTGTGTCGAAAATAATATACTAATTTTTGTAAGAAATTCTTTAAAATTATATTTTAAAGCGTTTAGTGTATTTATTTACTTTACAACATAGCAGTAAAAATGCTTTTCACGAATTTTGTGTTTGGATTTAATTGCATAATATTTTACACCTTCGAAGAGGTTCGAATTTTTTAATACTTGAAACGTAGAAAAATTTTTAACCTTATAAAAGGCATTTAAAAGTATTTTGTAAACGTAGCGCATTGACATGTTGTGAGCCACTAAACTAGTTTCAATACAAAAGTCAAGCAGTAGTAACACATCTGCAACACGAACGTAACACAGACGAATTCTTCACACATAACATTTGCAGTAACTAAATAAAAAGTTATTACGAGCAATTATTATTTTGCGACGTCGTAACACTGCCGGGTTGGAATTTTAAATCATATTTTGTATTTATTTAGCTTAAAATATATGATAATTTAATAGTATATCTTTCTGTACATCATGCTATTCCTGTGAGTGTGATGCCAGTCATCTATCTAACTCCTCTTAGAGGAAATACAGTAGAGTCTCGAAAACTCGACTAAAGTGGACCGAAGGGTGGCCGAGTTTGTGAAAATGCCGGGTTATCGGGAATGGGGTTAAAAAAACTAAGTATGAGTGTTTCCTCAAAAAATACTGTACTGTATTTGTATGTATTGTTTACTTGAGAATACAACAGAGAATAAACTGCCCAAATACCCTTAAACAAAGGAAAAGTACAACCTTTATGAAGGCATAGAGCCTTTACCACATGAAAATGAAAATTAATGAATACAGTTACAGTAATTTACCTGATAAGACAATCCCCAGAAAAATACTTTATGAGGCATAAAGCTGTCTATGATGAAAATTAATTAACTAAGAATTTTTTGCCCTGCCAGGGTGTGGCCAATTTATCCGGAGTTATCGAGTGCCGAGTTTTCGAGGCTCTACTGTATTTGCATTAAATTATCATACTTTCTGTTACAAATCGAAAGTTAATATATAGTTAATGGAGGCCTCCTTCCTTCTTGCTGTGTATTTCTTCTCTTCATTATCGTATATTTAGCTACATTCTGGAGAATAAGAAAAAACAGTAGAGTAATAAACAAACATTTACACACAGAAACAAACGCACAACAATCGAAATTTATAAATCTACAATCTCTTTCATATTGCACCCGAATACATCATTTAAGTGAAAAATTTTTCATTAACATTTGATCCTGAACGAGCAATGATTTATTGTGTTTTGCTAATTCTGTTTGTCATCTTTACGATGTCGAAAAACTTCATTGAATTTCTTATACCTGTTCGTTTACGAGAATTGATTGAAGTCATTTAATTTTCTTACTATTAAAGATTTCTTAGATTTACTCACAAGTTAAATGTAATATTATGCACTTCATTATTCCACAACAGGAGGCATCAGGAAAAATGTGTAAGTATTTATGACAAAAATGTTTAAATTGTGTGAATTGTGTGAGAAAATAAAGTATTTTTCCACACTTCAAAGCGATCGTCAAATCG